GACGCTTAAAAGCGGGGGCCGGGAGCCGCGGCCTCTGCACAGCCGGACTTTCCGAGGACCACCGGGCCTCCGCCGCAGGGCTCAGGCGGGGATGCTGTCCCCTCGTGCCTCCGGGGCCCGGAGCAGGCGGTCCCCGCCTGGGGAGAGGCAGCTGATGTGGGAGGCAGTGCAGGGCGCCCCGACAGCTTGTTACCCCAGCTTATTCCAGCTGTGGGGTCTGCGTTGGAGCTGGGGGGCGCACGCAGACGCAGCAAGGAGCCTGGTGGCGGCTTCCCTGAGCGGCGGTGGGTGTCACAGCGTCCGAGGGCTGTGGGGTCCCGGGGCTCTGCGGCGTTTGAGCAGGCGACCCACGTGGGGGAGGGGCAGCCTCCCTGGGGAGGGGGAGGGGCGCCCCACGCCTCGCTGCTCCTGCTTATTTTGGCTGCAGGGTCCACGCTGGGCATCGTAGACGGGGTCTGCTGGGCTGCGCCCTCGCTGGCGTGGGGCAACGGCGGCAGGGACTGCCGCAGCCTTGAGGAGTTTGCCCTGCGCCAGGAAAGCATGGGGTCTCTCTCCTTGGCGGGTGGGCGCAGCTGGTGCTGAGCTGGCAGAGTCAGGGGCCTGAGGGCTTGCACAGAAGCACGCCGGTGGGGACTCTCCCGGGGCTGGAGGGGTCACTGAGGCTCTCCCTTGACCCGGATTACAGGGTCCATGGTGGTGGTGTGGGCTCCGGAGGGTTTCTCTCTCACCCACTCCCTCACCCCATCACGGGGAGACTCTCACGGCTCCTCGCTGGTCTGGATGGGCAGGTCCCGAGCTCCTCTGGTGAATCCAGGCTGGTCTCGAACCTCTGGACTCAAGCCATTCTCTCGCCTTCGCCTCTGTAAGTGCTGGGATTGCAGGCCTGAGCCATCACGCCCAGCTGATCTGGAATCTTACAAAGCTGAATTCATAGACTTGAAGAGAAGACTAGTGGTGACCAGGGGTTGGAAGTACAAAGCTTTGGTTAGACAGAAGGCACGGTCTTTGAGATCTATTGCACAACGGGGTGACTCTAGTCAATAATAATGGATGTTTCAAAATAACTTAGAGTACATTTCAAATGTATCACCACAAAAAATGGTGAGTGAGGTAATGGAAATGTTACTTAGCTCCATGTAATCATTTCACATTTTATATATGTGTCAAAACACCACATCATGCCCCATACATGTATATACAATTGTGTTTTTGCCATTAAAAATAATGTCAATACAATTTTTGAAACAAGATCCATGTTGTAGCTTGTTAACAGCTAATGTTTTAAATAAAAATTAGATTTTTAAATATTTTTTAACATCTTCTTAAAAGGGTAGATCCGGTGTTGAGTGTTCTTACCACACGCAACACACACACACACACACACACACACACGCACGCACACACACACACAGATGCGAAAGAAAGGAGCGTGAGGCATCTTATAGAGGTGATGGATGTATTTGTAACCTTGATTGAGGTGATGGTTTCACAGGTGTACACATATGTCCAAACACATCAAATTATGTACATTGAATATATGCTAGCCAGGCATGGTAACGCACACCTGTAATCCCAGCACTTTGGAAGGCTGAGGCAGGAGAATTGCTTGAGCCCAGGTGTTCAAGGCCAGCCTGGGCAAAACAGTGAGACCTCGTCTCCACAAAAAGTACAAAAAAAAAAATTTAGCTGGGCCTGGTGGCATACGCCTGCAGTCCCAGTTACTTGGGAGACTGAGGGAGGATCATTTGAGCCCAGGAGGTGAGCTGTGATCTTGCCACTGCACTCCAGTCTGGGGGGGCCCAGTGAGACCCAAACTCAAAACAAAAACAAGCAATATATGTATGTATGTGTGTGTGTATGCAGTTTTTAAAATCAATTATACTTCAATAAAACTGGTTAGAACATAATGAAACCATATGCAAATTTTTGAAAACCCAACCTATGTTTGGAGCTTGACCCGCAATAAATGAACCATGAGCTGTGTCACCCTCGTTGCTGTCCTCGCGTTGCTTGCTGCTGGCATAATCTTCTGCTCCCCCTCAGTTTGACACCAACGGAGATGGGGAGATCACCCTGTCCGAGCTGCAACAGGCCATGCAGAGGCTCCTGGGGGAGCAACTCACCTCACGGGAGATTGCCGAGGTCGTCCAGGAGGCTGATGTCAACGGAGATGGCACCGTGGACTTCGAAGGTGATGGGGAGTGGGAGGAGGCCATGGCGGGAACTTCTAGCCGCCCAGGTGATTTTCCAAGTTGGCTGCTGCTTCTCACTCCCCCCTGAGTTTGAGCTGGCATGGGGGTGGCGAGTTACAGAAGCGTTTGTCCATCCCTTTCCACCTGGGTCATTCCAAAGAGCTCAGCACATCAGGTGGCTCCAAGGAGCACCTGTCTGGGGCCCTTCCCCACCTGCGCTCAGAACTCACGTCCACCTCACCCATCCCTTCCCAGGTCAAGGGGCACCTTTGATCATAGGAACCACATGTTGTGTCAGAAAGAGAATGGTCTAGCAGCTGGGACCCCGGGGTCAGATTCAAGGGCTTCGAGTTCAAGGTTATCTTATACTCCGCATATAGCTCATCTTAGTCGCTTGCTCTCTGTGTCAGTTTTCACATCTGTAAGGCAGGGTTGATGATGACACTTTTCTCTCAATGTTTGAAGAAAATAAGAAGAAACCATGCACTAAACATGATTGTTTGTTTGTAATTCGGAGTCTCACTCTGTCGCCCAGGTTAGAGGGCAGGGGCATGCTCACAGTCACTGCGGCCTCAACCTGCTGGGCTCAGGTGGTCCTCCCGCCTCAGCCTCCCGAGTAGCTGGAACCCCAGGCATGCACCACCACACCCGGCTAATTTTTTGATTTATCTATTGTAGAGATGAGGTCACGCCAAGTGGTTCAAGCTGGTCTCTTGCCCAGGCTGTGGTGAGCCATGAGAGTGCCACAACACTCCAGCCTAGGTTCCAGAGTGAGACCCCAACTCAATCAATCAATCAAGAAAACGCATCCACTCAACAAGTCACAATACAGAAAGCTAGCAGATGCTTGTTGAATACCTGCTGAATCTGGTCAGGCTCAAGTACGCAGTGGACATCAATGAAAATCTAGAAGGGGCGGGGCTGGGGATGGGAGACAGACCCTCAGGCTAGCCACAGGCAAGGGAAGGACAGGGTGACCTCAGAACTCGGGTGGGGCTGCAAGTCCATCTGGCCTTGAGATACCACGAAGCCAGGAACAGCCTGCGTTCCTTCCAGGTTTCTCCGTGTACTGTCTTCCACATGGCCTCAGGCAGGCAGTCACTCCTGCTGGCTTCAGTTTTCTTATGTGTAAAAGAGCACTCACCCCTCCCAGATGGTTTAAAAAGATGAAATGGGATACTAACCATTACTCTTTATGGGATGCTTGATCTGCTTCGTAAGCATTACGAAGGGGACCCAAAAAACCAGAACTGTCTTTTGGAGGGTGGACCTCTTGTTGTACAGGCTTCCCCAACTAGGTACACGTTCCAGAAATGCATCAGCATTTGTGGACAGTCTGAGAGGCTGCATTGGGCTTCAGTGAAATTTTTTTTTTAAGATTTTTTTCAACACATTTACCCATTTCATGATGGGTGATTTACAAGCCCACCTGCTCACACCGCACTGTGTTCAGGGTTTTTTTTTAATCAAAAATTGCATGATCCCCACGTCCCACCTTCCCTATTCACCTGATCTTACTCCAAGTGACTTTTTTTGTTTCCTGGTGAGAAAAGTCCTCAAAGGGAAACATTTTACTAATATGGAAGGGGTGAAATAAAAAACAGCGAAGAACTAAAAGACATCCAAATCAGTGAGCTCAAAAACTGTTCTGAGCAGTGGAAAAAGCATCTCGACAGATGTATTGCATCAATCGGAGAGCACTTTGAAGGTGACTGAAGTTTAGACATGTAAGAATAAATGCACAGTTTTTTTGTAGATAAATTCCAGGGTTTTTTGAGAGTGTCCTCCCTCATGTAATTTAACCATTCTAAAAACCACTTAAGGAACTAACGACCCTATTTTTCCCATCGTGTAGATAAAGAAATGCAGGCAGAGGGGTTAAGTGATTTCTCCAGCACCATCAGTGATGCCTGACACATAGGGAGTGCTTTAAAAAAAAGTGTTTTAGGCCAGGCTCGGTGGCTCAGCCTGAAATCCCAGCACTTTGGGAGGTGGAAGCTAGGGAATTACCTGAGCCTGCAGGTTTGAGACCCACCCAGGCAACTTGGCAAGACCTCGTCTCTACAGTAAAATAAAAAGTAATTGGGCATGGTAGCACGCGCCGGTAGCTCCAGCTACTTGGAAGGCTGAGGCGGAAGGTTCGCTGGAGCCCAGCAGGTCGAGGCTGCGGTGGCCGGGAGAGTGACACTCCAACTAAAAAAAAAAAAAACAACAGTTTTGACTGCTTTTACAAAGAGGTGCCTCATGGGAGATTTCTCTTTGCAGAGTTTGTGAAGATGATGTCTCGCTGAGGAAGCCCTGGAAACCCCAGACACTCTCTGCCTGGTCAGCGTGGATCAAGAGCTTATGGAAAAGCAAATCGCCAAGGCCCCTTGAAGGAGAGAGGGTGGGAGGGCGCATGGAGACTGCCCATGCAGTGGAACAGATTGAGTTTAGACTGAAAGCAGCATCTTTGCCAGGATGGGGGTGTCTGTAGGACAACTAGATTAAGAAGAGTCTACAGATGGAAATATGAATGGTAGCGGGGTCCAGCTGCCACTCCAAAAGGTCCCAGCATCTTTAATGACATCTTTTTACTTCACCTAAGTCCTGAATCCCTGTGACCTGCCAGAATCTCTTCCTCGTGGATTAAAGCAGTCTTTTCTCCTACTGGGTTGTCAAAAAGTTCAGCTGCCTACTTCAGCTGCTTCAAGGCCCCCTCCCCCAGTTTCTCTCTCTTGGGAAGAGGAGGCACATAAGTCATGAGGCTAGAAATGGGTTCTTGATAAGGCTGGGCTTGGAAATGGCTCATTCAACAGGTGTTCAGAGTGAACTTCCCTCCCCTCTTTCCTGATTTCCTGGAAGAACAGTCATTCTCTCTCTCTCTCTCTCTCTCTCTCTCTCTCTCTCTGTCTCCCTCTCTCTCTATCTCTCTCTCTCCTCCCACACCCCTCTCCTTGTGTAAGATACTCAGGAGACTGAATTAAACCACAAATCTGGATTATCAAGGTTTAGGGCAAGCTGATCCCTGGGGAATTAATCCCCAGAAAAAAAATTGTCATCCTGCAGAGAGAGATGGCCGGATCCCCAAATCCTCCGCTCAGCTGGGGTGTTGCAAAGCCTTTCCTGGAAGCCCCCTGCCTCCGTGCGGGTTGCCCGGGGACAGTGTGTGTGTCAGATGGAACATCTGCTCCACACACCACATCCTGACATCGATCTGTGCTGCGAAACGGAAAAGACACTTTCCCCCTCACCTTCGCTGAGAGCGGGACACTTCAGCAATGCAAACCTTAAAATAAAGGGCAAGAAAACATCCAACTTCGTGCCTTCCTCCAAGTTTTTTTCGCTTTGAAGTCCATGAAGTAGATGAATAAAAGGACCATCTGGTTCAATGACCTTACTTTATAAAATAAAAATTAGGAAAAAGGGGGGCCAGAATAATGTTATTTCCCAACCTCTTACCCGTGGCCACTCCCTTTGTGCTGTTTTTCACTATCCTGAGATGATTTTTATTTAATTTCCTTTATTAATTTATTTAGTCAGGGTCTCACTCTGTCACCCAGGCTGGAGGACAGTGGCATGATCACAGCTCACAGCAGCCTTCACCTCCTGAGCTCAGGCAATCCTTCTCCTTCAGCCTCCCTAGTAGCTGGGACTACAGATACACATCACCGTACCCAGCTAATTTTTGCACTCCTGTATTCTTAAAACCCCTGGACTCAAGCAATCCTCCCACCTCAGCCTCTCAATGTGCTGTGATTATAGGCGTAAGCCACCACACCCAACAGTATTTTATTTTTTTAGATCAGAGGTGTCCATGTGTAGTTTTGTTATGTAGGTACATTGCATGATGGTGAGGTTTGGGCTTCCCTTGAACCCATCACCCAGGGGGTGGACGTGGCACCCAGTGGGTTGTTGTTCTACCCACTTCTCTCCTTCCCTCCCCCCATTCGGAGCACCCCAGCATCTGTTACTCCCATCCTTGTACCATGTGCCCTCAGTGTTCAGCGCCCACATATTAGGAAGAACATGCAATATTTCATTTTCTGTTTCTTTGACAATTCACTTAGGATGATGGGCTCCAGCCGCATCCATGTTGCTGCAAAGGACGTGATTTTGTTCTTTTTTTTTCACGTCTGCATAGTGTCCCATGGTGTCTATGTACCACATTTTCTTTTCTTTTTTTTTTTTTTTTTTGAGTTGGGCTCTCACCCTGTCACCCAGACTGGAGTGCAGTGGCCACTCCCGGCCACCACAGCCTCGACCTGCTGGGCTCCAGCGATCCTTCCGCCTCAGCCTTCCAAGTAGCTGGAACTATACCACGCCCGGCTCATTTTGATTTTTTATTGTAGAGATGAGGTCTTGTCAAGTTGTCCAGGCGGTTCTCGAACCCACGGGCTCAGGCAATCCACTCACCTCAGCCTTCCAAAGGCGCGGGATTACAGGCTGAGCCACCGAGCCCGGCTGTACCACATTTTCTTGGCCTAGTCCACCATTGATGGGTGCCTAGGTTGGTTCCATGTTTTTGCTGTCGTAGTTAGTGCTACAATAAACTTACAAGTCCAGGTGTCTTTTTGGTTGAGGGATTTGACCTCCTTTGGATGCCCAGTGGGGGCTTGCTGGGTCCCATGGTAATCTATTTTTAGTTCTAACCTTCAAATCCATCTGACCTTCCTCTCTCCCTCCTTCCCTCTCTCCTCCCTCCCTCCCTCCATCTTTTCCTTCTCTCTTTACTTCCTTGCATCCTTCATATCTTCAACAGCAGTGTGTAAAGTGCCCATTATGTACAAGGCACTCTTCCATGCTTGGGGCTATAGCAGTGACTGAGACAGAGAGAACTTCCAGGCCCCAGGCACTTATGTGATCCTGGGAGGAGAAAGTCATGGAACGGAATGAGGAATGAGTACCTAGGATCACGTATTAGAAGGATGATAAGAGCTATGGAGAAAAATGGACCAGAGGCAGGGCTCAGGGAGCTCCATGTGGGAGGAGTTGCCCTTCTGTGGAGGGACTTCAGGATGTGCATGGGCACCAGGGGCTATCTGGGGGAGAGGCATTCAAGACACAGCAAAGGCCCTGGGGCAGGAGTAGAGTTGGATGAATAGCCCGGCAACTAGGGTGGCTGGAGAGGAGTTGACCGTAGATCAGGGTTTCAGTCCTGCAAGGATGTTCCTGGGACCATTTTAAGGACTCGGGAGGGTTTTGAGTAAAGAGTGACATGATCCAGGGTCCTCTGTAACAGAGGACCTTGGCCTCTTTCCTCAGCATCATCCCCTTCCATCCCTACACTCACGCGTCCACCCAACCACTCGTCCTCTCAAAAAATATGTGTCGAGTCTCTAGTCTATGCCTGACGTCGTTCCGGGTAGTGGAAATAGAGCAATGACAAGGTGCTTGACTTCGAAAAGCTTACATTCCAGAGCCAGACAACCCAACAGAATCTTCTGTGATGATGAGAACATTCTAGACTGAGCCATCCATCGTGGTAGACATAGCTGCGTGTGGCGGCTGTTGAGTATTAAATGTGGTGAGCAAGCCTGAGGAGTCAAATTTTATTTTTATTTTATCAAGAGAGAAAAGCTGTATCCATACATACATCATTAATGTTATCAATTGCTTAAGTTAAATTTAACTGACTCCGGGTGACTACTAGAGGAGGAGAAGAAGTAAAGGAGGAAGGTGGAGAAATAAAGGAAGATGAAGAAAGAAAGAAGGAGAAGAAAGAGAAAGGGGGAGAAAGAGGAGAAGGAGGATAGGAAAGGGGGGGAGAAAAAGAGAAAGAGGAAGAAAGAAGGAGGACGAGAAAGAGGAGGAGAACAACCACTACAGTGTGAGTTTGCACCTGGGCTCAGGGAAACAGATTCTGTAAACAATTAGTTGTGTGTTGTTTTGTTTTGTTTTGCTTTGTTTTTTGAGTTGGAGTCTCACTCTGTTGCCCAGACTGGAGTGCAGTGGCCGCTCCCGGCCACCGCAGCCTCAACCTGCTGGGCTCCGGCAATCCTTCCGCCTCAGCCTTCGAAGTAGCCGGAACTACAGGCACGCTACCACGCCCGGCTAATTTTTTAAATTTATTGTAGAGACAAGGACTCGCCAAGTTGCCCGGGTAGGTCTCGAACTCACAGGCTCAGGCAATCCACTCGCCTTGGCTTCCCAAAGTGCTGGGATTACAGGCTGAGCCACCAATCTATTATCAATTAATAATGTCTGCCGTGGGTAGCGGGGGAGAGTAGCAATTGCAGCAAGTCTTGCAGTAAATCATCTACCCTTCATTTACTTCCTAATTTATTTGTTAATGAGTGAATAAGTCCCTACAAATTCCATCCAAGTCTGTGATTCTCCAGAAAGAGACAGCAGGCTGCGGTTACCCCTAAAACTCCCTGGACTAGCCGGGTTCAGTGGCTCAGCCTGTAATCCCGTGACTTTGGGAGGCTGAGGTGAGTGGATTGCAGGTTCGAGACCTGCCTGGAGAACTTGGCAAGACCTCATCTCTACAATAAATCAAAAAAATTAGCCGGGTGTGGTAGCATGCACCTGTAGTTCCAGGTACTTGGAAGGCTGAGGTGGAAGAATCGCCGGAGCCTAGCAGGTCGAGGATGCGGTGGCTGGGAGCGGCCACTGCACTCCAGTCTAGGCAACAGAGTGAGACTCCAACTCAAAAAACAAACAAACAAAAAAAAAAAAACTCCCTGGACTGAGAGTCTGATCTCTCCCCGATGGCCACCACCAACTTTTCCTTCCCCACACCATCTTTCTCATTCTAGAAAGCAAAAAAGGCAGCCCCTGGGGTTAATTTAGGACTCCTTTATTAGAGGTTATGCCACTTTTTTTTTTCTATCATTCTTCACCGAGGACTGGGTGATTCAACAAGGTGGCGGAGAGGGAATTTCTAAAGATGATTGTGTGGGCTTGAAAGACACGATGAAAATGACGCAGCAAGTTCCAGCCTCAGTCTAGCGGTCTTCCTCTGAGGATGTTTCTCCTCACCTTGAAAACAGAAGCAAAGAACTGAGTTTGAGTAATACACATGCGGTGGCACAAAATGTAACACGAATGAAAAGGTGACATTGCACTAATTTTCTAGACTGTGTCAGAAGCTACAGAAAGCAGCTCAGCTAAGAGCAATTAGACACCCCCATCCCTACTCAATGATGGGGGTAATGGGTCAACAGCATGGTACCAAGCCTCATGGGAGCAAGTAGGTCAAGGAACAGTGAACCCCTCAACCTCACCTCTATGATAACAGGTTTGATGGGAGGACCACCGGCAAGGAGGTAGTTCGACTGATGGATAGACGTCAGAGGCTGGAGGCCGGGCACAGTGGCTCACGCTTGTCATCCCAGCACTTTGGGAGGCCGAGGCAGGAGGATTGCTTGAGCCCAGGAGTTTGAGACCAGACTGGGTAACATAGCGAGACTGTGTCTCTATGAAAAATAAAAAATGAGCCAGGAGTGGTGGCCCACACCTGTAGTCCCAGCTACTTGGGAGGCTGAGGAGGAAGGATCACCTGAGTCCAGGAGGTTGAGGCTGTGGTGAGATATGACCATGCCACTACACTCCAATCTGGGCAACAGAGCAAGATCCCAACTCAAATACATAAATAAATAAATAAGTCAGAGTCTGGACACCAGACATGTTCTTAGTCCTAGCCACAGCCTGGAGACCGTTATGGGTATTTTTTAATATCCATCCTGTTAAGATGGTAACCAGAGTCCCTAACCCCCTCCTCCTTTACCTCAGAAGATATTTTTCATTGCTAAGCCAACATTCAGGAAGGGTCACTAATTCGGTGTCATTTGTAAGCCACATGCATCGTGAGGACAAAATATTGCTGGTATCTTCAGGAAGGGTCACGAATTTGGTGTCATTTGTAAGTTACGTGCATCGTAAGGACAAAATATTGCTGGTACATTCAGGAAGGGTCACGGATTTGGTGTCATTTGTAAGCCACGTGCATCGTAAGGACAAAATATTGCTGGAACCACCAGAGTTTTCCACCCTGAGGGGAGGAGTAGGGGAGTTTTGTCCACACACGGGATGAAAGAGCTCTTCTTTCCTCTTAGATTCCAGGAGTCACAGAGCAACGAGGTCAGCTGACCCTAGTGGTCTGGAGGGCGTTGCTATAGGCCAGAGAATACCAAGCCTAGCCCACATGGAAAGCCAGAAGGAAAAGGCCAGGAGAAGGAGAGAGAAAGCTGGTCCCGCGTAGGTCACTGGTGATTCATGTGCTGAGTTGGGGGAAGGGGCCCACATGGTGGAGGAAGAGAAGTAAACCCCATGTTTTTCCTTGACCGGCTACTCAGCAATGGGGGTAATGGGTCAACAATATGGTACCATGGCTTCTGGGGACCAGAGAAGTCTAGGTTATTCCCTTCTCTAGATTGCCTTTTCTTTTCTTTCTCTTTTTTCTCTCCCCCCTCCCCCCTTTGGAGTTAGGGTCTCACTCTGTCACCCAGACTGGAGTGCAGTGAAACGGTCATGGCTCACCGCAGCCTCCAACTCCTGGCTCAAGCAACCCTCCCACCTCAACCTCCCGAGTAGCTGGGACTACAGGAGCACACCATCATGCCTGGTTGATTTTTAAAAATCTTTTGTAGAGATGAGGTCTCGCTATGTTGCCCAGGCTGGTCTCAAACTCCTGGGCTCAAGCAATCCTTTCTCCTCAACCTCCCATAGTGTTGGGATGCAAGCATGAGCCGCCACGCCTGGCTATCTTTTCATATCACGCTCCAGTTTAAGAAATTCCACTTTCCTAACGTTTCACACCCTAGGCCTCCCAGACTTGAAACTTGAAATGACACTTTTCTGAGCCTGAGAAAGTTTGCCCACCCCACCCTGCCCCCCACCCCACCCCCACTAGCCAGAGAAATCCCAATTTCTTCCAGCTTTCTAATTTGGGACGTTATTCCAGCCTCCTCCCACCCCCGCTCCACCGTATCTTTGGAAAGGAGAGCCCACCGTGCCAGGAACCTGAACTAGTCAGACATGCTGGGTGAGACAGATCTCACATCGGTGAGGAGCCCAGTCTCTCTCCCTTTCCCATCAATGACACGACCAGGTTGGTCCCTGCTCTTACCTCAGTATCAACAGTACACCCAGGTGTGATCTTTGTCATAGTTGTAGGACGTTGCACACCATGGAAAATTCCCCTCTGATCCTGTTCTGATGCAGTTGAAATAATTCTTGTTTTTATAGTTGAATGGGAAGCGGCAGGGGAAGCCAGGAGACAAGGAGGAAATTCCTAGGGAGAGGAAGGGGACAACACAGAGGTCTTTCTGTTTGTTACTCACTCTGTCACCCAGGTTGTAGCGTAGTGGCGTCATTGTGGTTCACCACAGCCTCGACCTCCTGGGCTTGGGCAATCCTTCCTTCCACCTCAGCCTCCTGAGTAGCTGGGACTACAGAGGCAAGCCACTACGCCTGGTTAATTTTTTTACTTCTTGTAGAGACAAAATCTCGCTATGTTGCCCAGGCTGGTCTCGAACTCCTGGACTCAAGCAATCCTCCTCCCTTGGCGTCCTGAGTAGCTGGGACTACAGGCATGCCACCAGGTCCACTAATTTTTTTATTTCTTGTAGAGACAGTGTCTCGCTATGTTGCCCAGGTTGGTCTTGAACTCCTGGGTGCAAGTGATCCTTCCGCCTCAGCCTCCCAAGTAGCTGGGACTACAGGAACACACCACCAGGCCTGGCTCATTTTTTAAAATGTCTTGTAGAGAGGAGGTCTCATTGTGTTGCCCAGGCTGGTCTCAAACTCCAGGACTCAAACGATCCTCCTGCTTCGGCCACCCAAAGCGCTGGGATGACAGGTATGAGCCACCATGCCTGGCTAGACAAAGATTATTTCAGGGGTCTTCACACTATAGTGGAGGCTTGGGCTTCAGAGCCCACCCCAGATTCAAAAATCGGGTAAATGCTGCCCCTGGTGGTGCATTTGGGGCATTTGGGGCATTGTAGGTAAATTCTGACCTACACCCAAATGTGGGAAGAACATTGCATGACTGGGTTTGCTTCCGTCAGAAGCCATCTGAGATTAGGACTTGGAAAAAGATGGAGGGATACAAAAGGAGAATAGAGTGGGGAAGGAGGACAGGGGAAGAAGGACATCCTGTCACCAGGAAGACCGGGGAGAGAACAGAGGATTTGCCCCAAGACCAGCCTGGGCAACATAGTGAGACCCCTGTCGCTACAAAAAATAAAAATAGCCGGGAGTGGTGGTGAGTGCCTGTAGTGACAGCTACTCAGGAGGCTGAGGCAGAAGGATCACCTGAGCCCAGGAGGTCAAGGCTGTAGTGAGCCATGATCATGCCACTGCACTCCAGCCTGGGCAACAGAGAGAGACCCCCGACTCAAATAATAAAATGGCACCAGTGTAGTGAAGTGCTGTCTGCGTTTCTAAGCACAAAAAGGTTGGAATGAGACTTATGGAGGCAATCTGTGTTTTGAGAGAAGCTTCTTTCAGGTGAGATTTAAGTGCTGTTGATGTGAACAAATCAACAATATGAGGTCCGACAATTAGGTTCCCAAACCATCCTAGAAAAAAGTGCTCCATACCTCATTGCTGGATATCATTACCGTCACTTCCAAAGTACGCCCCTTGGGAAGTTGTGCACCAACACCAGTGCCTAGTCTCCCCATCGAAGCAATTTTGGAATTCTTTTTCTGGAATTGTCATCAGAGTTGTGATTGTCATTTGTTCAGGTCTGGCAATTAAGGTCACAAACTTGCCACTGTGCACTTACCATTCAAATAACTATATTGGAACACCCTCCCTACTCATCTGATCTGGCCTCCAGTGACTTTTTTCTTTACCCAAAGAAAAAGGAAATACTGAATGGAAGACATTTGATGACATTCAGGACATCAGGGGCAATACGACGATAGTTCTGATGGCCACTGCAGAAAAAGAGTTCCAAAATTGCTTTGACAGGTGGACTGGGCATTGGTGTTGGTGCATGGCTTCCCGAGGGGAGTACTTTGGAGGTAGTAACTGTAGTGATATTTAGCAATAAGGTAAGGAGCACCTTTTCCACGGTGAGTTCATGAATTTAATTGTTGGACCTTATATATATATTAAATGAGGTGTCTTTAAGACAGAAACACGCATAAAACAAGGTGAAGCATGGATCAACTGACAGCAATGCTGTGACCAGAGGCTGGCAGGGACCCAGCTCTGCAGATCCCACTAGGAATAATGGTCATGGTTCAGGACTCACTAAGCTGGTATTTGCAGTGACTTATAGACACATAAATGCCTTGGATAGTGGGAATCAACTTCCAGCGTGATACCCTCTCACCTCCAGCTCACTGAAGTGAGTAACCTGGTGTCTGAGACCCCCAAATAGGGGTTGGAAACTCACATAATTTACAAGGAAGTGGAGGTGTGAAGGAAGAGCCTTGTTCCTGGACAAAAGGATACCAGACCAGGACCCGCTGATCATCTAACAAGAGAACTGTGAAGACACATTGCCAGAGTTACGTCTTTCTTCTCTGGGGCTTCTTCCCTGATCACCTCACCAGACTAGACTTGCTATCTTTGTTGTTGTTGTTGATGTTGTTGTTGTTGTTTGAGGTTCTCACTCAGTCGCCCAGGCTGGAGTGCCGTGGCACCCTCATGGCTCATTGCAGGCTTGACCTCCTGGGCTCAGGTAATCTTCCAGCCTCAGCCTCACAAGTAGCTGGGACTACAAGCGTGCACCACCACGTCCAGCTAATGTTCTGATTTTTAGTAGAGAAGAGGTCTTGCTGTGTTGCCTGGGCTGGTCTCAAATTCCTGGGCTCAAGCAATCCTCCTGCCTCAACCTCCAAAGTATTGGGATTCCAGATGTAAGCCACTGCGCCTGGCTCTAAATTTGCTATCTTTTGTTAACAAAAACTAATCAGACTTTGAAATAAGACCAAAAGATCACCACATGACCTTTCTATGCTATCCTAGAACAATATCTATCACATCCCTATGGTCATCTGATATTCTAACTCAGAGTCAAAAAACTTTTTTCTGTAAATATTTTTGGCTGTGTGCATAATACAGCCTCTGTGTCTCTGACACAACTACTTAACCAGAAAGCAGCTATTAGACATCCACAAGTGAATGGGAGTGACTGTGTTTCAATACAATTTTGTATATGGACTTTGAAATTTGAATTTCATATAATTTTTAACAGTCACAAATTATTTTTATTTTTATTTTTTTTTCCATCCATATAACAATGTGAAACCTCCAGCCTGGACAATATAACAAGACCTCGTCTCTACAAAACATTTTTTAAAAATTAGCAGGGCATGACTGCATACACCTGTAGTCCCAGCTACCTGGGAGGCTGAGGTGGGAGGATCACCTGAGCCCAGGAGGTTGAGGCTGTGGTGAGCCATAATTGTGCCACTGCACTGCAGTCTGGGCATCAGAGTGAGATCCCAACTAAAAAAATTATAAAAACTGTTCTTGGATTAGGGGCTGCATAAGGACAGGCATTGGTCATGCTTTGGTCTAGAGGTGGATTTTCAGATCCCAGCCACCACTGTTTGACTTACTATTTGCCATTGACTGGAGATCTAGGCTCTGATACATTTAGATGTAACTTGTAGAAGATTAACAGGTTGTGAATGATTTTAGTTCAATAGATGCAAATAATTTCTATCTGGTAGACAAGACTTCAAAGCTTTTTGTTTTGTTTTGTTTTTAGTAGGGGTCTCACCCTGTCACCCAGGCTAGACTCCCCACAACCTCGACCTCCTGGACTTAGGCGATCCTCCCACCACAGACTCCCAAATAGATGGGATTACAAGCTAATTTTTTTTTCTGAGTTGGTGTCTTACTCCGTGGCCCAGACTGAAGTGCAGTGGCACGCTCCCGGCGACCACAGCCTCGACCTGCTGGGCTCCGGCGATCCTTCCGCCTCAGCCTTCCAAGTAGTCGGAACTACAGGTAATTTTTTTTTATTATTATTGTGGCGACAAGGTCTCACCAAGTTGCCCGGGAGGGTCTTGAACCCGCGGGCTCAGGCAATCCACTCGCCTTGGCCTCCCAAAGCACTGGGATTACAGGCTGAGCCACCAAGCCCGACCTACAAGCTGATTTTTTTGTTTCTTTGGAGAGACAAGGTCTCGCTATGTGGCCTAGGTTGGTCTTGAACCCTTGGGCTCAGGCAATCCTCCCACCTTGGCCCCCCAAAGTGCTAGGATTACAGGTGTAAACCTCTGCCCCTAACCTAACCTGGAAGGTTCGACCACCCCTTAGATGTTCATAGATTTTGTACCAAATGTAGCAATCTTTCTTCAACTCAGTATTCTTTTCTTCACTGACCATATGTACTTTTTGTAATCTCCTTTGAACTGGCTTTAGTATCCTTCTGGCTCCCTCAGAACATGGTTTTGTTTAAAACCCCGGCATGTTCTTACCCTACATTCATCAAAGAGTCAGGTATTTAACATGTTGAAAATTTTACTGTAATCCCAGCACTTTGGGAGCCTGGAGGGGTTCAAGTGAGCCCCTGAGCCCGGGGGTTCAAGACCAGCCTGGGCAACTTGGTGAGAGCTTGTCTCCACAATACATCACACACACACACACAAAAAAAAACTAGCCAGGCATGGTGGCGTGCATCTGCAGTTCCAGCTACTTGGAAGGCTGAGGAGGAAGGATTGCCTAAGCCCAGAGGTCGAGGCTGCGGTGGCTGTGAGTGTGCCACTGCACTCCAGCATGGGTGACAGAATGAGATTCTGGCTCAAAAAAAAAGGAAAATTTTCTATTGGCACCTCTCTCTTGGGTGTTAGAGCCTGTCTGGGTATCACATCATTGATGCTATTTGCTCATGAGGGCAGGACCCTCTCTGCCTGATCATCACCAGATCCCCAGTGCCCAACACTGGGTCTGGCACACCGTAGGGCTTCTGTAACTGTTTGTTGAGTGAATAAATGAAAGAATCCACCCGTGCCCACCCATGCCCTTCCCCAGATTACTGGTGTCCGCACAGAGACTCCACTTTCCATCCTTGTCCATGTTCTCTGTGGTCGGGCACCAGAGCTTGTTGCTTTCATCTTCAAGGCATTCAAAGACCATGCTATCCCTGTGGATGGAGGGGAAGATGCAGGGCTTGCTGAAAGAATTTCCCCCATACTCTGAAAAGGATGGTGGAAAGGTTACAGGTCAAGAAGAGATGACAAGGGTTTCTGTTGACCACATACACACTATGCTCCACCCCTTATCTCATGAAAGGCAATTCAGTAAGTCCCCTACAAACAAATGAGTTCCACTCTGAGAGCGCATTCATAATCCCCATGTGTTCGTAGGTTCAACAAAGTAGCCTAAGTACCCAAGTAGCATCATCAGCTAGACAGTACCAGCTGCATCACTACGGCTTTTACACATCTTGGGCTTGAAATAAAGATACCGCACTACTGTACTCAATACAATCCTCAAAAGCACAACACTCTTGTAGAGGTGGCACACATGTGACAATATATGCCAGACACGTGAACTCACTTATGTGATTGGACACGCAAACACACGTTCACATCTTTTAAAGTTTGCAACTTGAAGGTTCATATGTAGGGGACTTCCTGTACAACTGAACCTTCCAAGCAACTTCTGGGTGATGCTATTATTTCTATTTTTTTCAAGTTGGAGTCTCACTTTGTCGACCAGGCTGGAGTGCAGTGGCACACTCATGGCTGCCCCTATAAAAAGGAAAATTTTATATTGGCACCTCTCTTGGGTGTTAGAGTCAAGTAGCTGGAACCACAGGTATGTGCTATCACACCCGGCTAATTTTTTATTTTTATTTTTATTGTAGAGACGAGGTCTCGCCAAGTTGCCCAGGCTGGTCTCGAACCCATGGGTTCAGGCAATCCACTCGCCTTGGCCTCCCAAAGTGCTGGAATTCCTGGTGGAGCCACTGAACCTGGCCTATTATTTCCATTTTATAAATAAGTGAGAACCAAAACCATCCACACTTGCATAGCTTACTGTCTACACTACGTGACGGTTGTTTTTCAGTCATCATCAACTTGACTCAACTAATCTAGGAAATTATTGCCCAGGAAGATAAAAGTTGCAAATAACTTTATTGTTTATCCCAGAAACTTTCTGAAAAGCTATTTAAATTCACACCAGACTGTTCAACTTTTTCAGCAGATTGCATCAAAACACTGTGAACTCTTCAAGACTCTGTGAAACCCTGCCCTCAGTAATTTCACCTTGTTGAGATCAACAACCCTAAACTATAATATCATGATCCTTACCCAATCCAAATCACAACCCCACAATGAAACACTCACCTTCGGCCAGGCACAGTGGCTCACACCTGTAATCCCAGCACTTTGGGAGGCCGAGGTGAGAGGATTGCCTGAGCCCGCGGGTTCGAGACCAGCCCGGGCAACTTGGCGAGACCTCGTCTCTACAATGAATCAAGAAAAGTTAGCCAGGCGTGATGGTGCATGCCTGTAGTTTCAACTTCTTGGAAGGCTGAGGCGGAAGGATCACCTGAGCCCAGCAGGTGGAGGCTGCGGTGGCTGTGAACGTGCCACTGCACTCCAGCCTGGGTGACAGAGTGAGACTCTGACTCAAAAAAAAAGACTCACCTTCAGCCAGACTCCAAGACCTCATCCATATCTCGACTTTGCCATTCCTGCTCCAAGATACTAAGATTCTGTCAAAGCAGTAATCTCCCTTACTTTGGTTAGCAATAAATTCAGTCTTGCCTAATTAACAGGCTTTTGTTGTAGTGTTTTAGGGGAAGCCATAATTTGACTGAAGGATTGGGGTTCGGAAGCACTGATGACTAGTGATTAAAAGTACAAATTCTGGCCGGGTGTTGTGGCTCACACCTGTAATCCCAGCACTTTGGAAGGCTGTTCAAAAGCATCACTTGAAGCCAGGAGTTCAAGCAAGATCCTATCTCTACGAAAAGACTTACAAGTTAGCTGAGTGTGGTGGTATATAACTACAGTCCCAGCTACTCAGGAGACTGAGGTGGGAGGATCACTTGAGCCCAGGAGTTCGAGGCTGTGGTGAATTTTGATCACACCCCTGCACTCCAGTCTGGGCAACAGAGTGAGACTCCATCTCTAAATAATAATAATAATAATAATAATAATAATAATAATAATGCCCAAATTCTGAAGGTTACACTTCTATTACATTACAGCTTAGAGTAAGACCCTGTCTCTAACAATAAAGAAAGCCCACATTCTGAAGGTTAACTTTCTATCAAATCACAGCTCAGCTTCTAATAACTTCAGTTTTCACATCTGTAAAACAGTGCTAATAATCAGATTTACCTCAAAGGGATTGTTCTGAGGAACAGCACACTGCCTGGCACAGAGCAAACGCTTACTGAAAATTCACTGTATGATGATCATTATCATTTTTATTATCTAACATGTGCAAGATCACACAACCAGTAAAGGCAGCAGCAGAATTCTAACCCAATTCTCTCTTCAAAGCCCCCTTTGGGGTTCGGGGTTCAGATGGCAGCAGAAGAGAAGAACTCACATACTTCTTTTTTTTTTTTTCTTTTTTTTGAGTCAGAGTCTCACTCTGTCACCCAGGCTGGAGTGCAGTGACACGCTCACGGCCACTGCAGCCTCCACCTGCTGGGTTCAGGTGATCCTTCTGCCTCAGCCTTCCAAGTAGCTGGAACTACAGGCATGTGCCACCACACCTGGCCAATTATTTATTTATTTATTGTAGAGACAAGGTCTCTCCAAGTTACCCAGACTGGTCTCAAACCCTTGGGCTCAGGCACTCCTCTCACCTCTGCCTCCCAAAGTGCTGGGATGACAGGTGTGAGCCACCATGCCCGACTGAGATCACACTTCTTAGGTGCCTGGGATAGCACCGTGATAGATCCTGCATGAAAGTGAACCCCAGTCTTTTTACAAAAGCAATGTGAAGTTCTGCCTAGTGTCCTTATTTTGCAGACAATGAAAGTGACCAAGAGAATCAACAACTTTCCCAAGGCGGGAGCCAGAGCTCAAGGGACCTTTTCTTGGGCATTTGTTTGGTGGTTTATGCAAATATTAATCTGTTACTCCATCAGAATTGGGTCTGAGGAACCTGGATACTGTTAAAAATAAACAGAAGTTAGTGCTTTGGGAGGCTGAGGTGAGTGGATTGCCTGAGCCTGCGGGTTCGAGACCCACCTGGGCAACTTGGCGAGACCTCATCTCTACAATAAATCAAAAAATTAGCCGGGCGTGGTAGCGCGTGCCTGTAGTTCCAGCTACCTGGAAGGCTGGGGCGGAAGGATTGCTGGAGCCCAGCAGGTCAAGGCTGCAGTGACCGGGAGCAGCCACTGCACTCCAGTCTGGGCGACAGAGTGAGACTCCAACTCAAAAAAAATAAGAATTAAAAAATAAATAAACAAAGTTTAGATTAGAGTTAATTTACGACAAGATTTAAAATGGACTTAGCACTATACACGGTGTTTTATTACCAACAAACGTGTTTTTTTCAACTCATCTATTTGATCTAGGGTTTAAAAAATCGCTAAGGCTATGGATGTATGAATGATAGAATTTAGAGCCAAAAGTGGAGACAGAGAAAGAGTTGGACTTGGATGAAAAATTAGATTAAGCATTAGGACACAGTTATGTTGGAATCTAAGAATAAGGCTGGTTTAGAGTTGAGAACATGAGTGTTGGGTGGCCAGGGCTAGAATAAAATTGAGGTTTAGATGAAATTAGGATGTTTTGAGTGTAAAGAGAAAAGATAAAGATTTTATGCAAGAATAAGTATGCCCATGGAAAAGTGTTTCGCATGCATTTCTGTCTCTAAAAATAAATTAGGCAAAAGTGCTTAATGAGAGAGCATGGGCTTTTGAGTCATATGAACTTGAATTCAAATTCTAACTCTGACATAGCCTAGGAGTGTGGCCTTGGGAAGTTCTTAGGGACGGGGGGATGGCATCTCCTAGTGCTGCCCTGGAAAGATTCAGTGGGATATTACATACAAATCTCCTGGACTAAAGTCTAGAACAAAGAGGACATGAAATGAATGGTGGTCATTATTCAGTTAGGATTAGGTGTAGAATTAAGATTAGATGTTGGCCGGGCATGGTGGCTCACACCTGTAATGCTAGCACTTTGGGAAGCTGAGGCGGGAGTCTTGCTCGAGTCCAGGAATTCAAGACCAGCCTGAGCAACATAGTGAGGCCTCAACTCTACAAAAAAAAAATTAACAAACTAGTCAGGTGGGGTGGCGTACGCCTGTTGTCCCAGCTACTTGGGAGGCTGAGGCAGGAGGATTTGCCTGAGCCCAGGAGGTCCGGGCTGCGGTGAGCTGTGATCGTGCTATCCCACTGCAGCCTGGGCAACAGAGCAAGACCTCAACTCAAAAAAGAAAGAAAGAGAGAAGAGAAAAAAGAAAAGAAGAAGAGAAGAGAAAAGAAATTAGATGTTACACTGCATTGAAATGCAGTAGGGTCTGTCCTTGGGTGAATCTGGCTATTGTCAGTTCTAGAAACAGAAGTACTCGAAACCAATGTCAAGACTACGGCTCATAGTGAAAACACCTATATAAACTTAATAGATGTTTAAACTTAATGGGGGCACAGGGTAAAAGCTGTGGAAAAGACCCAAGTCCCGCAAAGTTGCAGGTGCCAGTTAACCTGTGGTTTTACATTCTGTGTCTGAGTTTGCCTTCCGGCATGGTGCTCACACATTGTGGCTTCAGCGAGAGCAGCCACTCACCATTGATCATCATCACAGACCTCCCGCCCTTCCCCCAAAGCTGCCCCCAAGACTGATGAACTTATTTTCCCTTGAACAATGAGCCTGAGGTCCTGTGACCACCCTGGGGGTACCCGGAGAACTGATGTCCTCCCACACACCTTTCTGTAAAGTCACAGGCAGAGGTGCAGGGTCACCAGCCTTGGTCCCCCTAGTTTTCTTCTCCACATGGCATACTGCTTGGCAGCAGGTTACTGGGATCACAAGACTTGTAACTTCCCCAATGACTGTTGTCAAGCCTCTTTGATAGTTTCAGACCAGTTGGCCCCACCCTGCTCCGTGACCTGTGCTGAGAATTTAATTTGACTGATCCTGACTTTCATGGCTTTGCACACAAAAACAGTTTTGGCATCCCCATGACGTCACCCCCAAGCAATCAGCAGTGCCCTTTCCCTACCCCGCCCGCCTGCCAGATTATCTTCAAAAACCCAAACCTAAAAATTCTTGGAGAGACAGATTGGGAAAATAGCTCCCATCTTCTGCATGGCTGCCCAGAGATCATTAAACTCTTTCTATACTGTGACAGCTGCTGTCTCAGTGAACTGACTCTCTGGGCAGTGGGGGTGCAAGAACCTGGTCAGTTGGTGACAATCATTTCAGTTCTCAGAACATCTGCTTTTGCATGCTGGTGTTGGGGACTGGGAGAACGTGGCCTCGAGACATCCCCGTCTGTCTGGTTGTCACAGCGTACTCTCTGAGCAGACACTTAGAAGTCCTTCCCCTGGCGGCTCTGCCCTCCGTGGTGCCCTGCCTCTCCTCAGAAGGACATTCCCTGTCCCCTCTCCTTCTCATCACACACCCGCCTTTGCTCCTGGGGCTCACCATTGGTTTCGCAGAATTTCCACTGATGTATCTCATCAAAGCTGGAGGTGACCGAGCACCACAGCCTCCCAAAGAGGCTGCCCTCCGTAATGCAGCTGTCGTAGGACTCTCCTCGATAGACGAAGGGGAAGACACATCGTGGGTAATCTGTTCAAAACGGAGTCATGAGTGGCTCAGCTTCCTCCCATCATTCACAGGACAGAGTCTCTTAATCACCAACCACTCCATCAACCAATCACCCATCGAAGCACAGGCCCATCATCAGGTTTGGAAGATACCTGGTGAGTTCGTGGTATCAGGCATTCGCCTCCTCGACACACTGTCGATCCCGGAGCAACATGGGTTTGAACCGCGAGGGTCCACAGGTATGCGGATTTTTTTCAGTAAAAGTCACACCAAGTGTGCTACTGTGAATTTGCACCCCCTCCACCTCTTCTGCCTCTGCAAGACCCTCCTCTTCCTCCTCCTCCTCCTCAGCCTATCCAATGTGAAGATAACAAGGATGGGGGCTTTATGATGATCCACTTAATGAACCGTAAATATATGTTCTCTTCCTATGATTTTCTTTTCTCTAACTTACTTCAGTATAGGAGTACGGCGTTCGATATTTATGGGTTGATTGACTGTTTAGGTTATCGGTGAGACTTCCAGTCAATACCAGGCAATTCATAGTTAAGTTCGGGGAAAGCCAAAAGTTATACACAAATTTTCAACTGCATGGTGGGGGTCAAGGCCATGGTATACCATGATAGTGCTACCACACTCCAACCTGGGCAACAGAGTGAGACCCAACTCAAAAAAAGAAAAGAAGAGAGAAGAAAATAAAGGAGAAGAGAAGAGAAGAATTCTTGTGTTGTTCAAGGACCAACTATCCTTTCATCCTCAGAGCTTCTCCGAGGGGTTCCCAATCTCAACCCATGATGGCCCCATCTGTCAAACAAACAAACTTAATGTACATCACATAGTGTCTTAAGAGCAAAATGATTAAAATCACCATTGGACCCATAGTGATAAAGTCAAGATAAATAATCTTGTTGGTTTATGATCAACAGAGGGAGTCAAGAACTTGATCTACAGAAAAAATGCTGAGATTACTGGGGAAAATCTCAGTGAAATCAAATATAGTAAAGTTGTCATTGGGATGCTGGTGCCTTATTGCAACTTAGATACACGAACTGAGTTTCCCAGCACAAGTTGATAATGCAGTTTCAGACAGTATATCTTGTGGTGGGTAGAATTATTCACACATACTGAGGGAATTGGGATCATTTGGGAGTGATGAGGGGCCTCACATAAGTGAACCGGTGAGGGAGGGCTTCTTTAAACAGGTGACAAGGAGAAGCCAGCCATACAAAAATCTGAGGGGAAGCGAGTCTCAAGTAGAAAGAATAAAAGTATAAAGAGTTCAAAGACAGGAAGAAGTTTGGAATATTCAAGAAACCGCATGGTGACCACCATACCAGAGCTCAGTAGGCAAAGAAGGAAGTGGCAGAAGTGAGGAGAGAGAGGGACAAGGTCACGTAGAGACCGCAGACCAAGGCGAGGGCTTTCTCCCAAGTGTCCTGGTGAGCCATGGAGGGGATGAGCAGGGGAGTTGCATTCTCTGACTTCACATTCTAAAAAGTTCTCTCAGGCAGTTGTGAAAGGAAAAGATTGGACATGAGTGAGAAAGGTCTTGGGGGGACCAGTTAGCAAATTATTACGGCAGAGAGATGAGGTGGTTTAAGGAGTGGGAAGAGGCTAGAGTTGGAGTCTACTTTGAAGGCGGTGGATTAGATATAAGGTGGGAGGGAAAGAAAACTCAGGGGTGACTCCTATTTTTCTGGTTTGTGTATTGTGGCACTTCATCCTTACCGAGAAAGTATGCCAATTGGCAATAAAAATAAAAATTGAAAAACCTCTGCATGGATTATATTTCTATGTATTTAGATTTATACATATAAATATCTTTAATTATTATAAGTATATTAATATACTTAATATATACATATATTTAAATATCATACACAAATATAAGTGTTAATATACTTAATTTTATATTATATATTAATATATGTTAATTTATATATTTTTATATTGATATAAAATTTATATTAATTTATTTATATGCTAATATATGTTTAATGTCTAAACATGATATATCAAATATATTAATATATCAGAACATACTAGTATATTTAATATATATCACATATATTGATATAGTTAATAAATTAAATATTATTTAATGTATTGTGTTACTATATTAAGTAATATTTATAGATTAATATATAGGATATATGTAAAATATGTTTATATGTGTATATATGCCCAGAGATGTTAATTCAAGATACGTTTCATAAGTGACATATGTCATATGTACATATCTTAAACTAACATCTCAGGCATTGTCATACAGATATGCATTTCTGATCTCACTGAGGAGAAGCATCCTGCCCGGCTGTCTTTAGAAATACATGTGAAGCTCATCTACCCACTGAGGTGGTGAGAAAACTGCCAGTTATGGTTTCAAAGAGCAGTTCTTGGTTCAGAGACCAAAACTCAGGGGAAGAGATTCAAAAGGCAAGACTTCATCTAAACAGGGGCCCTGGGTGATTTGACTGAAGGAGGGTTCATCAGAAAGGAGGTTGTTCAATTTCTCAATCTGTTCAAAACAATGATATCATGGGAACCTAACACCTCTAGGTGTACACACTTTTAGCATCATTTTGCCACCTTTTGTATGTCTTAAGCATATCATGGGGACCTTTCTTCCAGAATTCAGGGGGAAAAAAAAAGAAAATTTCTATTTCTCATTTAGCTTCAAGCAGTTAATCCTGAACTGGAGTGGTGGTTTTCAGCAGAGGTGATACTGCCCCTAAGTTTTGTTTCCTTTCAATGTGTGGGGGCACTTTTTGTCATCATGTTTAGCTCCTGTAATCAAAGAGATTCTGCTTTGAGATGTAAACCTCAAGCTACTTTTTAATGCCTTTTAGGTTAGTTATGGCCATGCATGCCTATTACTTTTTTATACATTTCCTTCGTTTTATTTCTGTCTTGTATTACAGCTAAGGAATTGTGTTGATCTATTTTGAAATTATAACTATGGATAAGTGACATTATTTGTACATTTCATTTCAGGATAGTGAAAGGGACATTGTAGTATGTTTATTATAAAAGGGAGGGCATTTGATCTAAGAGACTCAAAAACAATGATACGAGGAAAAGTAAATCCTAAATATTCCAAACCTGGATACTCACAAGAACAATGTAACTGCCTGACACTAGGTTACTGGCTAAAACAAATTAAATTACAGAAGATCCAAAAATCATATAATTATCAAAAATGCCTTTGGTTTTGGGAAAAAAGTAAACCGAATCTCTCAAATCCCTTCTTTCTTACACTTTGAGGGTCTTTTTCTCCTTATTAATTTAGAAAATTAAGTGAGACAAAGAATATGATGGTTCCATTTGGTCAACTGGTCTTACAATATTATATGATAATATTATTATTTATCTCTCATCCAGAGAGCACTATATGTATACATTTTTTGAGTAGGAGTCTCACTCTGTCGCCCAGACTGGAGTGCAGTGACACAATCACTGCTCCCGCAGCCTTAACCGGCTGGGCTCAAGCAATCCTTCCATCTTAGCCTCTCAGGTGCACGCCACCATGCCTGGCTAATTTTCTGATTTTTTTTTTTATAGAGACAAGTCTTGCCAAGTTGCCCAGGCTGGTCTCAATCCCCTGGGCTCGGGCAATCCTCACACCTCCGCTTCCCAAAGTTCTGGGATTACAGGCTTGAGTCACCGCACCAGGTGTGAGAGTATCATTCTTATCATGATCATTATTAACATTATTTCCCATTCTTAGCATTCAGTGTCTGGTCTCCCAGAGTACTTTTAATGCACACATACAGATTATAATTTGTCTGCAAAAATATGATCCTGTCGTATACAGCCACACACCCTTTATTGTAATCCACCCTGTCCAGAAGCCCGCTGACAGGGCCAGCATAATCCCACTCACCTTCAGTCGTGCAGTGTTTCCATCTGCCATTGTACACGGCTCTGGTTGCACACCAAGGGGAGAAGCTGTTGGTTCTGGTGCAAGAGAAGTAAACAGACCCCTTGTAGATAAAGGGAAAGACGCATGCCTCTTTCGTATCTGAAGGACAGAACGGGAGGGGACAGTCACCATGAATGAGCAAAGGATGAGTCTTGGTTTGGCTCTTGCTTTCTGTTCCCCCAAAATTCATAGGTTCGAATCCCGATCCCTACAGTGACGGTATTAAGAGGTGGGGACTTTGGGAGGTGATAAGATCATGAGGGCAGAGTCCTCATGGATTGAGAATAGAGCCTTGATCACAGAGGTCCTCTCCAGCCTGGGCAGCATAGCAAGTCTCTATTTCTACAAGAAGTTTTCTAAAAATTTAAAGTGATCCAGGAATGGCAGTGAGCGCCTATAGTCCCAGCTACGTAAGAGGCTGAGGCAGGAGGATTGCTTGAGGCCAGGAGGTTGAAGCTCCAGTGAGCTATGATCAAACCATTGCAAGAGAGTGAGACCTGATCTCTAAAAAACATAAAAATAAAGAACAAAAAAGAGACCCCAGAGCGCTAGCTAGCCCTTTCCACAAGGTGAGAATACAGCGAGAAGTTGCCCTCTATGAACCAGGAAACGGGCCCTCATCAGAAACGGAATATGCTGGTGCCTCAATCTTGGATCGCACGGCCTCCAGAACTGAGAGGAATGAATTTCTGTTGTGTCTAAGCTATTCTGTTGTGTCTATGGCATGTTGTTCTAGCAGCCCAAAAGGACTGAGAGTTTTCCTGGTAGTCAGGCTTAGCATTCAGCTTCCTAATGGCATGTGAGAGCGTGCCCAGTTTATGTTTGGACCAAGAGTTTCGTACGCAAAGAAGAGTTTTGTGCACAAGGAAGGCAACCCGCACATACTGTTTCTAGACCTCTGTTTCTCGGGCTATAGAATGGGCACCACTAATGTCACCTAAGGTATGTTTGACGAACCACAAGTTCACATCGGGTTACATAGAGACACCCATTAAATAATTTTGAAACACAGACTAGAAAAATAAATCCTTTTGGAATGGCCCTTTCAGTCCTTCTGATTACACAAAAAGAGAAAGCTCTAATTTAATACTAGTATCTCTCTACCACATCTCTAATACTTAATAATCTCCCCCTTTTAACAAAAAAAAAAAAAAAAAGAGGGCAGGACTCTGGCTCAAAGCCTTATTCGGACAATAGTATCTAGTAGGACTTAATAATGGGATTTTGTTTTCATAGCACAGTGTTTATTTTTAGTTGTAATTCCTATTTATGGCAAGCAGCATTTTTTTTATATTATAATACTGATGTTAACCATTCTCTTAAAATGGAACTAGGAAAGTGAAGAAAAGTGAGCAAATTTAAAGAAAAGTGTTGGGTAAATAATGGCGCTGGTGAGTGCAAACGTGAGGGTTGACCCTTGGATGGGTAAAGTTTAGGAAACACAACCTTTGATCTTTTTATTCGTATGAGGATGGAAACTTTGTCTTTTGCCAAAGTATCCACAGAACCTAGAATAGTGACTTACTCAAGAAACAACTAGCCAGGCACAGTGGCTCGCACCTGTAATCTCAGCACTTTGGGAGGCCAAGGTGGGAAGATTGCTTGAGCCCAGGAGTTCAAGACCAGCCTGGGCAACATAGCGAGGCCGAGCTCTCCTGTCTATAAAAAAATTAAAAAATTAGCAGGGTGTGGTGGCAAGTGCCTGTAATCCCAGCTACTTGGAAGGCTGAGGTGGGAGGATCGCCTGAGCCCAGGAGGTCGAGGCTGCAGTGAGTTGTGATCATGCCACTGCACTCCAACCTGGGCGACAGAGTGAGACCTTAAAAAAAAGAAATACTGACAAAATAAGTTCGGAAAATGCCACACGAAATAAAGTTAAACAGGTTCATTGCATGAAAGACTCATCAGAAGAATTAATATGCAAATGAGAATGGAAGTGTAAAATATATAGAATTGCCTCCCCTATGCCTTTTTTTCTCAACATTCAAGAACACTCAAGACTGATGGTTCCTGCAACACATTCAACTTTATTTCATGTGCCATTTTCCGAACTTATTTTGTCCGGTTTTTTGTTTTTTTGTTTTTTTGTCTGGCCTGCAGGTACAAGTGCTGGAAGCAGGAGGTTTTTTGTTTGTTTGTTTGTTGAGTTGGTGTCTCACTCCTTTGCCCAGGCTGGAGCACAGTGGCACGCACACTCACAGCTACCCCAGTGTCGACCTTCTGGGCTCCAGCCATCCTTCTGCCTCAGCCTTCCAAGTAGTCGGAACTACAGACACATGCTACCACGCCCGGCTATTTTTTATTTTATTGTAGAGACGAGGTCTTGTCAGGTTGCCCAGGCAGGTCTCAAACCTGCGGGCTCAGGCAATCCACTCGCCTCGGCCTCCCAAAGTGCTGGGATGACAGGCTGAGCCAGCGAGCCTGGCCAAGAGGCTTTTTTTAAGGTCTCACTCTGTCGCCCAGATTGGAGTGCAGTGGCATGAAATGCTCTTCTATCCCAAACTCCTCATTATATGAAGGCCCTGGTAGGCTAAGGAATAATTGAAGTGAAGGCTTTTTTTTGAGCAGAACTTGGATAAGAACTCGCCTTTCTCATCTGCTTGTCCAGAACCACAGCTTCTCTCCTTGCCGTCAACTCCTTCATCTTCCTCCTTCCTTCCCTCCCTCAAAGATATCACAGTGGAGCGCTACAAGTGAGATACTCTGCCAGGTGACTTGCGTGTGAGCAATAGATTGTGGGTGGCAATGATGTTCTCCACCTCCTGGCTCCAAAGAGGTTCCAAGCAATCCACCATGCTCTTTTCTCCCTCTGCCTGACAACTGAATACAGAGTAGTGGTTCTCAATAGAGAAGGAGAGGCGAGTATGACTCCCAGACAACGTTTTTTGGGTTTTTGGTTTTTGGATTTTGAGTTAGAGTCTCACGGTGTTGCTCAGGCTGGAGTGCAGTGGCGCACTCACGGTCAACCCAGCATCGACCTGCTGGGGTTTGGGGGATCCTTATGCCTCTGCCTTCTAAGTAGCCGGAACTACAGGCGTGTGCTACCATGCCCAGTTCATTTTTTTTTTTTTAATTTATTTATTGTAGAGATGAGGTCTCGCCAAGTTGCCCCGGCTGGTGTTGAACCCACAGGCTCAGGCAATCCACTCGCCTCAGCCTCTCCATGTGCTGGGATTATAGGCCGAGCCATGGAGCCCAGTCCAGACGATGTTTAGAGACGTCTTTGGTTATTACAGATGGCATGGGGAGAGGGCCAGTGGCTGCTACTGGCATCTACCAGGTAGACCAGGGATGTTGCTGAGCACCCTGCAATGCACAGGAGGACTCCCCAGAACAAAGCACCATCAGCCCCAGATGCAACAGAGCTGAGGTTGAGAAACTCCAGCAAAGAGGACTCTAGAGAGAACACTGAGACCCTGGGAAATGCTAGAGACACAAAGCACAAGGATCCTGTTCTCTGGATCACAACAGAAAAAGTTTCCCGCTGAGAATCCCCACTGGACTGTTATATGAGTTTGACACGAACCTCTACTGAGTTAAGCCACTGACGGTTGGAGTTTGTTACGACAGTTAGTCATCCCCTAATAAAGATGGCCTTTGTCTTCAAGACCTAAAACCTACAGCCCTGGCCCTTGTCCTGGATTAGACTCTTACCCTGTGTAATCTATCATGGGTCGTGGTGGGTTGGGAGAGCATAGAGAAGGCAGGAATGAGGTGTGGGTTGGGAGAGCATAGAGAAGGCAGACTTCCATCTTTGAGCCACACCAATGGGTTGAGGCAATTAGGGGTCCTTAAATATGGTTGCGTTTTCCACCTGGGTCTCTCTGAACTGTCTGGTCTCGTTTTTGTGAAATTTAAACAGTTTAAATCTGGAAAGTCCTTGGAAGAGTATCTGGATCATGGCTGCTGTTGCACAAATATTAGCCGTCATCGTCGTCCTCTCATAATTGTCCTCGCCATCAAGGTCATCATTATTATCATCACCCTCATTGTCATGGCCATCGCCGTCACTGTCATCATCACCACCATCTTTGTCACGGTCATCCTTGTCATCACCATCATCACTATCATTGTCACCGTCATCCTCCTCATCAAGGTCGTCACTATTGTCATCGCCATTATTGTCACTGTCATCACCATCGCCATCAAGGTCATCATTATTGTCATCACCCTCATCATCATCATGATCATCGTCACCGTCGTCATTGTCATCGCCATAATCATCATCCTCATCAATGCTTTTCCTCAATCATGGACGCCACTGAGTGTATGGGATACCATGCTGTGGGGGAGGACAGATGCCCCCCGTCCTGGAATTAAGGTTATCTTTGGAAGCTGTTAGTAAGAATCAGCACATAATGAATACTATTAGCCATCTGCAAAGTAATCCAGCAGATGGCCTAATCTTCTTAACTGGTTACAATCCTCTATAATCCACACCCTGCTGACCCGCCTGTTCTCACTCCCTGATTAACATTCCCTTGACCTTACCCCCGTGGTCTTTCTCATCTTTGGGGTTTTGCTCCTGCCCTTCACCCTACCCTGAATAACTTTCCTCTCTTCCCAGCTTTAGTCCCTGCTACTGATGCATGAAAGCTTTGGGTCCATATCCTTCCTCACACTGATTCTCAAAGCCAATCTCTATATATGTACTTACCAATTTTTAAAAATGTGTTTGTGTGTCTATCACTCCCATTCATGGTGAACTCTCAGGGCAAAGGGCCTAAGTTCTGTTTATTGCTATATCCTTTATCTATAACACAGTCCGTGGAATTTAGGGATCGCTCAGTAAAATATATATTGAGTGAATGTGTCTGTTAATATGCACAGAGGGGACTTGGGGATACAGGAATGTGGGTGTGATCTCAGGGAAGCACGACTAAATGAGATTATGGCTAGGAAATCTCACACTCCATCAAGCACACTGTTCCTTGTGTAAGTAAACTGTGGGTTCTTAACCTTTTACAGGGACTCGTCAGTTCTTTTGAGAACCCAGTACAACTCTAGAAAAATACCCGTGTGCCCTTGTGGCTAAGACAGCTGCGTGTTCACCAAAATCAGCTTCATTTTCCTCTCAAATGCCCTGCTAGACAACGTCTCACAGACTCACTTGCAGCTGTCATATGAGTTCTGGCCAATAGGAGTAGAAGGAAGTGATGTAGGCTACTTCCCAGCCTGGCCAAAAACAAACAAAAAACTTTGTTTTCCAATATCCTCTTTGTCTATCAGCTACAAGCAAAGAATCCTCAGAGGACGCTGAAGCCCTAGAAGACGGTGAAGTCCCAAAATGGAAGGAGCTTGGATCCCTGAATGACCGTGTGGTGCATTGTTTGTTGACTGGGTGCACCCTCATTAGACTTTGCAGGAGCAAGAGAAAAAAATGGTTATTGTGTTAAACGGCTGATAGTTTGGAGTTGTTCGATTGCCATCGCTGTTCTTACTACCCTGATAAATACATACTTTTTTAAAAAATACAAATTTGGGTTTTCATGGACTCTAACACTCATCCAGTGACTCCACATAGGAATCTCTGGAATACAGAATGTGATCATCGAAGAGGGACTTCCTCGGACCAAAGTGCATGAACATGTGAATGTTTTCTGAGCCTTATCTAAGGGAGAAGGATTTGTCAGGCAGAAAAAGATACTAATTGTGGAGAGTGAACTATGCATACTTAAGGTCTCTCTTTGTTCTGTTCCCATGCTTACTATATAGTCTTTTAGTGGTTAATTTATATTCCCAGATTCATTAAGATATAATTAGAGTGTCCAGACTGAGACCTGAGGGTTCAGTTCATTGGAATTATACAGCCAGAACTTCTCCCTAGGAAAATACTTGTACGCCTGCGTGGCTAAGATGGCTGTGTGTTCACCAAAATCAGCTTCATTCAGTGTTAATTAACACCAAAAATCAATGCCTTTTAAAAAACATTTTTAGAGACAGGATCTGGCTCCCTGGCTAGAGCACAGTGGCACAACCTCGTCTCACTGTGTCCTCAAACTCCCAGGCTCAAGTGATCCTCCTGCCTCAACCTCCCAAGTTGCTAGGACTACAGGTGTGCGCCACCATGCCTGGTGAATTTTTTGTAGAGACCAGGTCTCGCTTTGTTGCTCAGGCTGGTCTGGAACTCCTAAAGCAATTCTCCCACCTTGGCCTCCCAAAGTGCTGGGATTACAGGCATGAGTCCCAGTGCCTGGTCAATACCTATTAAATTAATATTCACCCCCCCCCCCCATCGTGTGTTGTGTATTATGAAAGATACTAGTGTCCATTATTATATTTAATCTTCAAAATAGCCCCATGAGGTAAATGCCATTAGTTTTCTTTCACAGTCTGGGAGCTGACTTCAGAGAGCTTACATTGCTTGACCAAGATTGCAGAGATAAGAAGTGGCAGGTCCAGGGCCCAGGCCCCAGGTCCATCTAAGATTTCCACTAAGCCGTCTCTTCCCTGAGTGGCTCCAGGAATCTTTACTTTGGCCCATTCGTTGCTTTCCGGTTTTGAATCCTCCCCCATTGTGGTCAAGTATACTCACTTCCACTTATCTCGTAGAAATAGAGGAGCAAGATTGTCCACCCCAACAGGTAACTGGACCATCGGTTCATCTTGACTGGCCTCTTTTCTCTGTAATTAAAAAGAAAAGATAAAAATTTGACTCCTGTGGGTCTCCTTTCTCTTTTGTTTATTTACTTGTTCATTTAGTTATGTGGTTTATTCTAAAGATTTGGGGAATAAGTTAAGATTGGGTACATAAGTGGTCCATGTATAAGTGAAGTTTGGGACTCCTGTTGGACCTCACTTGGCCTGGATTAGGATCAGGCACTCTTTTTGATGTTATGGGCCCCCCTCCGTCCCCAGCAGCGTCTCGCTACTGCCAATCCCTTTCTTGTAGTATTATGATAAATGTTCAGGGTCCACTTATGAGTGAGAACATGTGGTACTCAGTTCTTTGTTTCTGTGATAGATCACTGAGTATGATAGACTCCAAATCCATCCAAGTTGCTGCAAAGCCCATAATTTTGTCCTTTTTTTATGGATGCATAATATTCCACCATGTATATGTACCACTTTCTTTTTGTATCCAGTCTACTTTCAATGAACAGCACATTTGGTTCTATGTTTTTGCTATTGTGAATAGTGCAGCAATAAACATGCATGCGCAGGTATCTTTTTTGTAGATTGATTTGAGTTCCTCCAGGTATATTCCCAGTAGGGGGAATGCTGAGTCATAGGAAAGGTCAATTTCTGGTTCTTTTAGAAATCATCATACTGTTTTCCATAGAGGTTGAACTAGTTTGCATTCCCACCAACAGTGTAGAAGCATTCCCTTTTTTCTGCATCCTCACCACCATCTGTTGTTTTTTTTTTTTTTTGAGTTGGAGTCTCACTCTGTCGCCCAGACTGGAGTGCAGTTGGGTACCGGCATTAAGAAATCCTATTTGAATTTGGATGTGCCTGCAGTATTTTAATAGGTTCATTTATGGAACATTAGTCTTTTAGTGAATTAGAAGCCACTTTTCAACCTCTGGGATAAATCTAAGTTATCCAACCAG